TTAATAAACGAATGACAACTTGTTAAAACATGACATATACTTATCCCTCTCTACAGTCAAGCTTTTTTGTATTTTTAAACTTATCAATTAGTAAATGATTTATTGTTAAATATAAACATGTACTTGTTAACTAACAAATATTAATTGTCCATTAAAAAAGAAAATCAAAGATATTATAGTATTTTCACATCAAAAATTATTTTTAAATTAGTACCATAATCTTGCAACAGTATTTCAAAATGTTTTTATCCTTGTTTGATATCAAAATAAACTAATTAGTCCTTAAATGATATTTTCCTAAACATTAATTACAACTTATCTGTGGGTTCTATTTTTGTATTATCTTGATATTTGAACGGAGCAGTTTTTATATTTCTAATCATTTGGTTATAACTTGACGGCCAGTATATATTTGTAAAGGTTGTGAGAATTTGTAGTGTTCAAAAATTATAAAATGACATAATAAATGAAAAAAAAAATTGAAAGTAATTTTGCTTTTCTTTCCCTTCATACTATGTGTGATATGATTTATATTATTCATCCTCAATATTATTTCTAGCTGGGTGGCAATCAATTTTTTTTAATCTTATTATATTTCTTGTTTTCAAACATCTTGTCTTATATTTCTACATATTAATTGTATGTGTCACATGTCTTTTTCACTTCTCATTTTAGTGAACTGTGAATCTTAAGAAATGGGCAAACTCGATCGTTACAGCTTATCTCAAAATATTATCAAGTCTTTGCTCTTTATTTTTATTCTGCATTTTTTCTTGTTATTATTACTATTATGTGTTTCTTATTGTTCACGCCCGCCCACCCATCTCTCTCTCTATCTCTCTCTCTCTCTCTCTCTCTCTCTCTCTCGCCCTAACATCTCATTAATTTCGTTCTTTTTTAAACCAGCATCTCATGTCAATCAACAGAACGTGTTTCCCTTATTTACTTTTCCTTTTTTTTAATTACTGTTTTTAGACAATACAATTTTGGAAAGCCAACGTGCTTGAAACTTATAGCAAGCCTACACTGTTTTTTTTTTTTTTTTGTAATGATGAAGGTAAAAAGTTGCAAAATTTATAGAACCACTTGTAATTTTTTTTTTTTTTCAGAGTGAGGGTTGGTGCATTTCCACCTCCGATCCTCTAGTTAAAGTGGCTCCGCCATTGAAGGTGAGTAAACTATCTCCCATCATATATTATTATATTGCATTCAGCAGGCAAGGAGGGGGTGGTCAATATATAACAGTTAATTTAAGGTTAATAGATGACACACATGCGCTATCAACGTTACGTGCATTACTACGACTTGTTTGTCGTTTTTATTTTTCTGTATCATTTTAATTTTGCACGAGCGGGACCACCAAGTATGAAAAGCATAATGGCTAAATATAGATTTAAATCACGTGTTAGGTCGACGACTAGCCGTTGCCCCCCTGGAACACTAGAAAGGCAAGGTGGTCCAGGTTCATTATTGCTTTCAATGAAAACACAGCCTGTATTTTTCAAACTACTCAGACTAAACTAGACTGTTAATTAAATTCCATTGATGTCGATTTTTAAATTAAAGCTGAGTGATATAGATCAAGTATTGTACATAGTATACTCCCTCCACTCCAAAATATAAACATTTTTTTAACTAAACTTAGTTTAAAATATTAACAATGTAGTATATCTAAATTTTTTTTTTTCCATTTCATCCCTTGTACTCATTAACTTAGAGTTATCCCTCACTTGTTATCAAATGTATTGATAAATAGAATTAAAAGTAAAAAAGAAGAAGAATGAAGGTGCACATTGAATTTCAATCACGTGGTGGGAGCAGCTGCACATGGGGGGGGGTGTTGAGTTAGAAATGGACCTGCCAAGTAGCTGTGGATCCAACTCAACGCAGCACTAATTCTAAACAGGGGGAAATTAGAGTCATAATCCGAAGTATTCAGATTACAAGTTGATCATTTAAGTTTTATTAAGTAAGAGTGTTTGAAATGATGAAGATGATGTAGCATGATACACGACGGTCACGTGGAAGAGGGACCAGGCGTGCCTGTGTGTGGTGCCGCTGACAAAAGCACTTGTGTTTTTGGCCATTGATTCATGGGTCCCACTCCAAGCTTGCTTGCGGGTCCCTCTCCTGTCCTGGGTCAGCTCTGCCCAGCCCACCTGCTTTCCAAACATTTCTATTCTATTTGGGTCTCTCTTCCGTTGGCTGATTGGTCATCAATAATAATAATAATAATAATAATCCCTCCTTGCCCTCCAAAGCTGCTGACTAAGCATCTGCGTCTTGGTGGGGTCGCAACTCATATCTACGTTAAGTCAGTAATTGATAACCTATACGCGTCTCCGTGATAAGGCAAATCTACCTCGGTCTGAATTTCTCAACAATTGTTTATTTTCTTCAAAAAAAAAAATTAATATTTTATTTAAATAAATTAACTTTTTTAAAAAAGTTATATATCAAGCCTTATATATTTAAAGTATACATGTTTTCAATTAAATCATTAAGTGTTGATGCTTTATATGTATGTGTGTCTATATATATTATTTATTTTATAACAAATTTATATTATTAATATTATTAACACATTAAAATGAACTTAGAGTGTACTTGTTTTTAATGAAACCATTACATGATGATCCTTTATATATAATTTATTTTATAACAAACTTATGCTATTAATACTATTAACATATTAAAATACATTTGTTTTAGTTTGATTAGTTGAAAGTACATCAAGTATATTAAGAAAGTTAAACCTGGTGAAAGGGGTTAATTTCTCACCACGTGGCTAATGAAGGTTTAAATCTTTGTTGGGAGATATATTTATAATTAGTGATTGACATTATTTTAAATATGATTGCTTCTAATAAAATGATACCTATGAATATAAAAAAAAAAGTTTGTCAAATATATGAGGCCAAGAACATAACTCTTCTCCTCTATTTTTTTAGAATGAAATCAATCCGTAACTCATCTCACTAGCTAACATCATCTCGATTTATCTATGTTAAATCGAAGAAAATTAATTCAAATGAAATTAATTAAATACCTTAGATTGGTTTAAGTGGAGTGAGGCATGCGTGGGTACAAATCTAAATTACAAAGTTCAAGCTTTCTGACATACAACAATATAAACATTAGATAGGCATAGAGGGAATATATATATATATATATATATATTGGGGGCGGGGAAGGAAAGGCAGTGCAAGAGCAAAACAAACAAAGGAAACTTTTTGTTTTGGGAAAAAATAAATATAGCAAACTAACAAAAGAAAACTATATGGATGCTTAACAATTTTAATTAAATATTGAATGATAGAGCGCGGCAAGGGAGGAAGATTGTGATAAATAATATTATTCAATCTGTGTAATTAGTCTTCTAGTGAAATAAGATTTGTTGTTGTTGTTGTATTGAATGATAAAAATATATACAAATACATTAAGTAGAATCCATACACTTTGGTATTAAGAATACGTATTATTGTTGATAATGCATTATACGAATTACAGGCAACGTTCTAATCAAAGAGGGGTGGGGAAGGCAAGGTTAGTCCCCCTTCCCTTAGTTGAAACATATATTATACGTCATGGGTGATATACCGTTTCTGCAAGTGTTGATATAATTATAATTGGAGAACATAGCACGCTTTAGTTTTCAAGTTCCAATCTCCCTATACTATTCGATTGAGTATCGACAAAAAAACACGTGCATCCACGCATACAATTGACTATTCTTTTTTGTCATCGATCTGTTAAATGAGACAAGGCTTCCTTACGTGTTGAATGCCTAAAATTGGCATTTCTTCCCCCTATATCACGCAACCACACCATAGATTCAAGTTAACAAAAAAAAAAAAAAAGGAAGTGTATTTGGTGTAGGTCAAATTTTCAATATAGCATAATCTGCTGGCTGCTTAATGCATCCAGAATTCTTTATGGTTGGCAATAAAAAAAAAATCCACTGTTTTTTTATTATTTTTTTCATTTAATATTATAAAACATTTTTAATCAAATTATATTCTCAAATAACTTAGTTAATTATTTTTAAAATTACATTTATTTTTATATTTATCCCTACCAGTAGGGTGTTTAAATTAGAAAACCTTATTAATTATGGCCCTTAATTAAGGGTGTTTTAAGAAAAATCTTATTAATTGTATCTTAAAAGACCCATAATGCTTTATGCTTTTAAACATTTTATCACAAAAAATACATTACATTTTTTAACAGAAAAAATATAATAATAAAATGAAAATCTACCAAAGGAAAATGGCGCACCGACTACGAACAATGAGCAAGAAGAAAACATTAGAATTACGTTAATGTCCTCCGGAATATAATTAAGCACCAACTAGTTGTGATTGTGGAGGACTTGTAAGCTGCATGCACTTCTCCCAGTAAAAGGTTGCCGAATCCGTACCATAGATTCAAGTGTTGGGCTTGGCCTCAAAAAACACATACTCGATGATCCATCGGTACTGCATTGACCCTGTAGTTGTATGTAAAAAATCAGGCACTGCTCTCCTGCATTTATTATTTAGATTTAAGACTGACTCATACTGTCATACACGCAGATTGGAACTTGGGCTTTCCAAACGCCAACACAAATCACCTTTATCCAAGCTCGTTCATTTCTCTACATCGCCATTGGCTTGCTTCGCTATGCTTAAGACCTCATCCCTCTGAATAGTTTAAGCGAGTTACAAAACACTCACCAGGATTTCCTGTGCAATTACCATACTGTCCCTGCCTGTTCTTGAATTTGCTACCACTTCACGCGTTGCCAAGGGGGTTAGAAATGTCCCTGAGCATGAGTAATAATACACCAACAAAAAATACCTCAATTATCAGGCATACAAGCCTTCCCCTCATGAAATACCTTAATCTCAGCCCCTTTAATCCAGCAATAATACACCAACAAAAAATTGGCGCATGAAAATCCTTTGATGGTTTGCCATGGACACCCAAAACGGGCTAAATAGATAGGGGAAGCAGCGTGCTAGACTGAATCAACATTAATTTCTTAAATCACAAAATCTATTACACCTGTCATGATGAATAAGTTAGCTTTTTAAGACAACTTGGATAACAGTTTCTTTTCTTTTCTTTTCCTTTTCCCTTTCACTCGAGAAGTATATGTATTGAATGCGCCTCGACTTCATTCAACCTTCTTGCCGCTAGCTTTAACATCAGTTTCTTCTTCAGACGAATGAGCAGTAGCCTTGGACTCATCAAACTCAAGCAACTGCATTTGTAGAAAAGCAGCTTAGAAAAACAAGGAGGCTCATTTGGTATGTAGAGTGGGGGGAAAATAGAATGAAAAAAAAATGTAATTTTTTAAATGTGAAATGTTACACGTGCCCCTAGATAAAAAATAATAATTAAAGAAACAATTGTTGATGAGTAATCACCAGAAGGATATAACAGTTATTACTCATCTCAATTTTTGTGCAGTGAAGAATGTTTCCTTTCCTTTGTTTCTATCAAATGAAGCCTAAAACACCTCAGCAAATCCACATTTAGCAGGGGCAGGTAAACCTGACGCTCACATCGACACATCCCCAAAACTTCCAAGCCATAAGTCATAATACTCCAAAATCACAAGATATAGAGCGCTTTATAAGTTGGGACTTATAGGAAGTCATCACAAGAGACAAGATACCCCTTGAAGGAGGAAATTAGTTTTAACAAAGCCATTCTAAAGCAATACACACTTTTTCAATGGTAAAGTTGAAAACATTATGGGCTCCATCATATGTTAAATTGAAAACATTGTTGTATAAAAAGTATAAGCATTTTTAAAAAGTCATAGCTCCTTAACAAGTATATAATATTTTCTTGTTAGTGGTCTCAATAATCAGATGGTCAGGTAGTATTCTCTCTATATGGGAGTGATACAAAACAAACACAATGGAATGATTGGAAAATATATTAGACGCAACAAAAAGGCGACATTAATATTATAAGAGAAGAGACACAAGGCAATATTGGGGTGTGAAAGAAACCTGTTTGACATCGCCATTCCATATGCAATGAGCAGCCAAACATCCAATTACAGCGGGAACAATATACAAAAGAGCAGGCTGAAATAAAAGTTCAAGAGAAAAAAAGTCAACAGCGAAGATTTGCCTTACAGGATTTGCGTGATATTTCGGTTCTCAGCCAGCCATATAAATACTAAGTAGTTAATTTAACAGTACATGTCTATCTCCAAAAATACGTTAATAGAAAAATAATAAAATACCCTTTAAAGAAACATAGGTTGGTCACCTGAGCAGCCTGAAACCAGTTCATTACAATAATTGTAAGCACCAAGCCAGCAGTGTATCCCAAAAAAGCACTCTTGAAATACTGTGGCTGTTTTCCTCTAGACACATCAAACCTCAAGGCCAGTGCTACAAAAATCCCTGAAGAGAAGAGTATGACGAAAACCAAAATGAGATTGCAAAGAAGTGCTTGCATAAAAATATGACATCGCATCTCAAATTATCTGGCTCCTTGCAATAAAGGTTCACTATTTCTAGAAGAACAACATTTCTAAGGCATATTTCTCAGTTTTAATCAATGGCCCAAAAATAAAGATACTCTTCTTATTTGATGTCATCATTAATCATCCAATCATTGAAACCAACTCAGCAGAAGCCAGATGTTAGAACTATCTTTGCTTGAAAGGCCACATAAAACTAACAATTAAATTAAAAAATATCAAAAAATAGTTGTTCGCTATTGAAGAATAGAAATCCCACACCTAAAATCTAAAAATAACAGGAAGGGTGAAGTCTATATAAAGCTTGTGGTAATTGTAACCTAGTGGCTTTAGCTATTTTGGTGATATGGACAAGCCCAAGCCCAAAGGCAAAACAAACGTTCACATATTAGAGCCTAACAACAGCTGATATATTTGGGATTCCATTCAAAAGAAAAAAAAAAATTGAAGAGCAAGAGTCCTTTGAGATTCAAAAGGTACAAGCCAATGCCAAAGTTAACATTCAATGAGAAAGCAAAACAACAATCCTTAAAAATTTATTGGCAGATTAAACATAGACTAAATGGAGAAAAGAACCAAGAAAAACATTATAACCACAGTGAATGTACTTCTCAGGCTTATTGACAAAAAGAAAAGACATCTGAGAAATTTACAAGGTACTCAAAAATTTTAACAGTAAATGTGGTAAGAATTTAGTATGTCAATTCTCATACCTTTTGATTCTGTTAGTCATAAAGATTAACTTTTCAAGGCTATATAATGGAAAAAAAGTCAGATGCACAGGTGATAGGATTATCTCAAAATGGCCTCTTCTAAACTGAAACTGGGTTGAGGTCTTCTGTTTTAGGGGGAAGGTAAGACATCAAAACTCCTTCACGAGAAGATATAAAAATATATTGAAATAAAGGGTTCAGCCTACCAGGGATTACAATGTCACCAAGTCCAAGCATCGAAAATGGTCTTGCAGGATCTGATGTAGGAAACAAAAGCTGCAAATCAATTCAAGTAATTAATATATTGAAAAAATATATAGCCACTGGATTATTTCCATGATCAAAGCATTTACAGTGTGAATATTCACATCCAAGGATAAAAAAGCAGAAGAGTCTCACATTTTCACTAAGCTAAGATTCTAACCTTTATAGGAGCATCAAATGATTTTGCAACGCTGACCATAACTGGGGTGAAGAAAACCCAAAAAATGTCATATACAAACAGCCCGGCCTGCAAAAGATTAGTTAAAAAAAAAAAAAAACCATATCAACAACAAAGAGTAATGACTGACGAAGTTGAATAGCATGGTTCAGCAGTTGGCAATAAAAACCAAAACAAACTGAAAGGCATGAACAATATCATCATTTGAATTCAAAGAAATTTAAGATCCTTACATTGATTGCGAATGTCAACAGAAATCATAAAACAGGAAGGAGAAAAAGACTGCCAGTATGATAAATGTTTGTCATTTCATTTCATTTTATTTCAATTGACTAAACCTTCCTTTAGATAAATGAATATGGCGCAGCCATCCAGCAACAATAGTTTCTTAAATAAATAAGCATCGTCAGGCAAGCCTTTGTTTCATACGGCAAGTACTATTTTAAAAAAGAAAAAAAAATTCTCAAGCACCATAACCAAAAAAAGTCAGAACAGAATAACTTACCAAAAGGATGGCACCAGTTTTGAAAGACCCAAGAGAAAGCATTTCAATTCCCTGCAATTATTAAAATTGGATTTATTAATTCATTCAGCAGTTTACTGCAATCAGCATAATCAAAATATGAACACGAGCATTCCACAACTTAACCAATAAAATACTAAAACAGTTAGTTTTTCTTTTCCAAGAACAGATTTTGCACAGCATACTACCACAATTACATTGCAGTCAAGTATACAGGAAGAACAGGATCATTTTAAGCACATTTTGTAAATGATGCCTGGTATCAATGAAAAGGCACCCAGAAGAACAAAGGCAGGAAAGAATTCAGTCATATAAAATAGTTTAAGTTCCAGACCTGAATACAAAAGGCAAGACCCAATATATTATTTGCCAGCCAATGCTTCCTCAGAGCATACCATGCACAGAAAAAAGTCCCAGGGACTGCAGCAACCATATGTGACCTTGTAAACTCAATCTCCAAGGCTGTAGTAGAAAGTTGTAAGGATAAACATGTCATTGCATAATATAAGCCATTTACAGCCAACTAGCTGAAAGTCAAACTGCCAGAGCAGGAAAACACCAAAAATGCACAAACAAAACGGGAGGTTCTTTGAACAATGAAAGAGAGCACTAGAAACCTTGTTAGCAAGAGAATTAGTGAACCTTCAGACACAAGTCTGGCTGTCTTTCTCAAAATTCAAACACCACTTATGTATAAAATGACAAACTCATAAATTAAATCTCAGCTTCATAGTCATCCAACGAACAAGTGCTTGCCTCTGACTACTCTCCAAATAAATTCAGTTATTCAAACAAAAACATGATATTTTATTAGCAATTAGCTAAGAAGAAACCAAAAAATCCTTTCATTCTGCATGGATATGATGAAAACTCAAGGTTTAGGAACATCCATATTTCACAGCAAGCAGCTCAAACCCAGTTGCAATAGATTTGCTACTACTCAAGACTGTCATAATTGATTATCTAAAAGTTTCATGCAAAACATAAATATATAATTCTTATTCCACTATTCATTAAAAGAAAAGGATTGTTGGCAATATAAGTAAGGCGGCAAATTTTACACATACAGCGAAAATATGGAAAATGCCAGATAATAGTATCCTCGTTCCAATGCTTTGGCAAAAATCGTTTTATAGACGGTAATAATGTTGCCCTGCATGAAGAGGAAGAAAAGCGTGAAATCCAATAACAGAAAACAAATGAATCAGGTGATTTTTTTTAAAAAAAGGAGATATTGAGGCCAAATAAAAATACATACGAAAGAGCAACAATCCCCAGTACAAAGAAGTAGCATGTCAGTACAGCATTCACCAAGTCCTTTGATAGAAACTTGAATAGCAAGAAAAGCGATAACAACATTGCACTCCCAACAAAAGGAAATCGCATGGCATGTTCATTAGACATTGTCTCCTGCATAAGTACAAGCAACATCATTCGCAAAATCAGGTCTAGAGCCATGGCAATATCAAAACAAAGATGAGAAGATATAATGACAATATAGTCTGTTACTTACTGAAGGTGGAGTTGGTTTGACAGATCGGTAACAACCCACAAACACAGTGAGACATGCTGTCAAAACAACATTTAGATTTGGATCTACTTTCACAACAAGTGGTGCTAATGTTAGACCTGCCAAGACAGATAACGTGCAGTCAACAATTAACGATGAAGGAACAGCAATAGACCCACTTATCGCCTCACTCATACATTGCAATCATCAACTACGGCTCTTGAACATCATGTCCATGGCACATTCGTGTTCGCTGAGAAGGCCCACGGGGACAGGCCACAACTAGCCAAAATACAAGGTTCCACCCTCAAAATATGGAGAGTACGATTCACAAGAAACAAAACGGCATTGTAGATATAAGTTACAAAATCAAATTTTCTGCCATCCATCAATTTGAAGACACAAGAGAACGAATTTCAGCAATTAACACTGGCTCAAACATATCCTACGATACTGCATTAAGTCATGTCAAATTACAATTAAATGGCTTAACGGTATATATTGGCACCAGCAGATCAGGGTCCACAGCTGTCCACTTCTAATAATTTTGAGGGTCGGGGGTCATGAAAGGAAGTAAAAGGATCAACAAAAATTCCAACTTCGCCACCGTTGGCACGGTGGGGCAGTGCAAAATGAACAACTTCCACCGAAAAGTTGGCGATGAATTTACATCAATATACTAAACTACTAAGTAGGAGAACTGGAAAAATGCGACCGAAAAAGAGCAGGGTCAACTAACCAGCCAAAGCTAAGTTCGCAATTCGCTCGGTGCTTTTCATCATTAACCCTCTAAAAATGTCAAGGTCTGGAGTAAATCCTGGATCTACAGAACCCAAATCTTCCGAATGTGGCCCCTGCGACCCGAAACAGTACGAACTACAAAAGTCAATAAAGATTATTGTAAAATTCAATGTAAATTGTCACGAAGAATATCGTCAATTTGATCTCTCATAAACTAAACCTCCTCTCGCAGAAGAAAATTGCAGTAGCAATTGACCACGACGCACGATTCCTCAAAAAAATTACGTCCGTTGCAAATCGGAAGGCCAGTAGTGAGATTACGATTCTGACAAATTTGAAGAGTTAGGGTTTAAACTTCAATTTCACCCAGCCCAAGTAGACCGCGGTTCAACGATAAGACTACGCTAATTAATGAAATGGTTAATTACTTAATTTTGATATTTAGAGTCGGGACGATAAAATAAACTGTCCGTTAAGTATCACTTTGGCGTCAATGAGATAGTGACACTTCACAGAAGTAAAGGAAAAGAGCACGGTCACATTACACGTGTCGTCATTCCGTTTGTCCGTTAAAGTGATAAACCAAATTATTGTGTCATGGATCGATTGATTTTGGTTAATAGCCTGCAATTCGAGTAATCTACGCGCTACAAGCGTTTTTGAGCAGAGGATGACTCTCAGTCTGGATTTCGCTGCTACTGACCTGACTCGCGTGGTCTGAGGTGTGCAGGCCAATCAGCTACTCAATAATGTCCAGGTCGGATTTGAGAATATCTTCCTCTGCCTTGACCCTAGAGCAAGCGCACGGTACAATTTTTTCCTCGTATAGAGAGGTATAGTTCCAAATTCCAAAAATTCCGTTTTACTTTTTTTAAATGGGAGATAATTTTATTCGATATATGATCAATGATAAATATTTTTTTTAATTCAAATATAATTATATTATATTATGAAAAGAATAAAAAGTACATAAAAGGTGATTAAGAAATTAGAATTGCAGACAAAAGCGTATGAAATTAGGGGAAGTCAGGGAACGAATAACATAAGGAACAAAAAAAGTAAAGTGAGATAAGTATTAAAAAAAGAAGATATCCAAATCGACCACACACTTTTGCTCTTCCACTGTTGGAGTCTAATAATGAAGTCGCTGATAACAAGCAATGTGTAGGACTTCAAGGGGGAGTTGGTAACCGGCACTGCATGCAAGGATCCATAAAATGGGAGAGCGAAGGCATGCGCTGTAAAAGTAGGAAAAATTACTTTTTTCTTTATCCTCCAGCTAATTGTTTGTAAGATTGAATTTCAAAAGGAAATGGAGATCAAGCAAGTTATGTAGTCAAAGGTCTTTTTTTTCTTATTCCATATGCCTTTTCTTGTTAATGAAAGATGACCATAGCTCCTTACTAGAGATAGACCAGAAATCTTTAGAGGCTTGTTAACATCAAAACATAAGGGGCAATATAATTTGTAAATATTCTTAAAATAACAATTAAGATGATGAAATTCGTGGATCATGTCATACGATTTGTAAGAAATACCTTTGTACATAGAAGCGTTCCTCTTCCTCCATATAAGAGAAATCAAAATGATGATTTGCTTGATGGTGTCAATTTGATTATTCTCAAAAAGTATAAAAATTATTCCTTGAAATCAATTCATCTATTCTGACTGATAAAGCACCAAATCAGATTTCTCGAGAGAAAGGATAAGTAAAATAGATATATTTAATAGATTCTTCATCATCACAACTAAAAATGCATTTGGTGTTGTTTAGTAAATGATGATGCTTTAAAACAGCACTTACTAGAATGGCCTTTGTAAATACCTACCATGTGAGAAGAAGGAATTTTTTGGGTAAATGCAATTTCCGGAAGACTTTTTAAGGAAAATGAACAACATCATCAAAAGAAATCTCTTGTGTCAATGCTTGCAAGAAACCCACTTTGATAAGATAGTTACTCGAAAGGTTGCCTTGCCATGTCAATTTATCTTGTTGATTTTGAGTAGAGATTGATGGCATAAGAATCTAATGTAGATTAGTAAAGTTATAAATCTTGCAATATAGTCTTTGTTCCATTTTAAAGGATGCCAAGGTATAGAGTAAGTGATGATAAAATTTGATGTTATCTTAGTTGGCCATCATTCAGTTCCTGGACCAAGAAAGCCGAGCTTCCAAAAAGAATTGTTGAGGCTGATTTGCTACCTATTATCAACTCTCCATTTTAATTTTAAAGTTACAAAATCATAGCAACTAAGAATTCCTTTCCTCATCCATGATGCATTGGAGTGCTTCATGACTAGAAGGATTATCCACATTGATGAATTTCAGCCTTAAAGTGTCAAAGAGGATTGAATCTTGAGAAGCTTCTAATAATCTGCAAATCTGTTTTGCCAATAAGGCTTTATTCATTAAATAAGTTTGTCTTAAACCCAGCCCTTTGGAGTCAACTAGTTTAAAGAGTGTCTTTATCAACAAGGTGCATTCTTTTTCCTTTTGAATCCATTCCCCAATAGAAATCAATGCATCTAGCTTCAATTTTCTTACAAACATGTAAAGGTAATTTAGCACAAGATAGCTAATAAATGTTAGCAACAGATAGGACCAATTTGACTAGTGTGAGTACAAGGTCTCCTTTACTATTCTCTTATTAACTCTAAATTCAAAACTAAGGGATTGTCCCAAAAAGATTACCAAGGTTATAAATTTTACAAAATGGGGACCTCAAGTTTTCAAAATTAAAACACTTCAATATACCTTTTACAATTTAAAAATTAGAGCTATAAATGTATGGGAAGCATGGGATCTTTCACAAGTTAAAGCATTTGCATAATAGTTGGAAACAACAACAAAAACAATGCAGAAAAGCATATGTGCTCTACGGCTTGTCATACGTGCATTACAGCTCATTGCACATTTTTTACAGCATAACTGTTGTCATTTGATAGGAATAGAAGTGGACTTCCAACGTGTCCCGTTTTTTTATCTGAAGTTTGATTGAGGTGATCTAGCTTTAGCTAATAGCATTGATTTCACAATTAAATTATTTATCCGCCAAAAATTAGATACCCATTTCACAACTAACTCCCTTTCACAATTTAAACATATCTTGATTGTCATAATTTTAAATGAAGTACCAAAAGCCTCAAATACACTTTAGAACACACTCAATAAATTATTACAGACTTATGCAATGCACCACATCACAAACTTAACATATCAAACATATTTTCAATATTCAACCCCTTAATTACAAAAACGAAAAGGGAAGCTTTGGTGTCATAATCATTCAACATTAATCAAATTTTTACTCATTCTTTAGTATTTTGGCCCTTTTTAGATTTCACAAGTCACACATATACTCAACCTAGGGCTCAGAATACACAATTTAATATTAACCAATACAAAATGCAAGTAAGCATACATGTAAACTTCTAGTTGACAACATCAACAATAATTATTCACATATAATACTCAAAATAAAAGAGGCCTACAATTTTAGGATCCTAAGCCTTAATCTTGTCCTAATAAGCTAGTTCCTATAATATTGAAAAAAAAGTGTGAGTATAACCACTCAGTAACCAAGGTTTATCTAACTTATGTTTATACATGTCAATCAATCTTAATGCAAGTGGCAATTTGAAATTATTCTTGTAAAGGGTGTTCTAAATTAGGACTTATCCATCAATTTAACTATAATAAATCAAGGACTAACCCAAAAGGATTATCCTATAAGTAATTAACCTAAACAAATTCTTAACATGTATTTTCACAAACGATTCAATATAAAGGGATCACAAATCTTTAAAATATCTCAAGAACTCGTATCATTCAATTTTATCGGATGTGGAAGCATGATAAAAGAAATACATCAACATGGAAGAAGAGTTTCCCCTTTTATTTTCTCTCTATGCCTTACTCTACAATACATATATACATATTTACGATATAACACTTGGCCACTCAAACCCTTTCATAACTGGCAGCGGGGGGCTAAGGTCTCAATTACATTTTATCACAATTACTATTATCTAATCATCATACTCTATATATTATCTATTCATCAATAGCCTATCATATACATGAATTTCTCTTTTCATTCACATATAATTAATATCAACTGCTCACCCTTGGACATCAAAAATACAAGGGGAGACCATAATAACATTCAAGTTCTCAAATTAGCCAATATTAACTATTTTCACTTGCACAAATATTTTGGCCCGTTGATATAGCTCAAGCATCAAACCACATTCCCCAGGGCCTAAAATACATTTCTCCTAACACAAAACCCATAATGCAAGTGAATCAAGAATATATTATCCTAGTTGGCAATATCATAAACTAAATACACATCAAAATAAAAAGAAAAAGGCTTACAGAAGTGATTACTATCATTTGGCCTAATGCTCATATTCTCTGTTCTTCTGAGATGAGTTAGCTCCTGCAATATGTTAAAAGAGAGGGGTGAGTACAACTACTCAGTAACCAAGGTATATCTAAGTTATACAAATGCATGATAATTAATCATGAATGCAAGTGGTCAATAAATTTATCAAGGTGACCATTCAAACAATCACATTAATAACATGTTAATCACATTAACATTTAACTCATGTGAATAATTTCAAGAATAAAGTCAAGTAAAAAATTTGCCCAAATAGCCACATATACATTATTCGCATAATTACTGCATGTTCTCATTTGTACAATTATAATCATATTCTCAACATAGCCATCAATCACTTAAATGGCATGATAGTAATAATATGCATGATCGATCTTTTCCTTGTATCCCCCCTTATTTCCTCTGACATGAAATCCGTAGGCCAACAACCGAAAGGGATCGTCCATGTGGTGAGACTACCCAAGGCCTTAATCACATCATGAGGGGCTACTGGGCTAGGGTTACCTTACTTACTTATGAACACGGTTTTTCTAAATCACACACTATGGGGTGTCAATACCCAAAATTAGCTCTACCCAAAACTCCAAGTAGGCCAGTAGGGTCAAGTCCCTTAATAGGAACAATGCTACAGTACCTTACAAGGTAAGTAGCGGCTATAACCCTTAGGATTATTGATTAGTAGCCAAGTACCATATGGATTTTGTATAACTGCTAACTCCTTCACTAAGGCGAACTCCCGCCATATGATCATGCTCATGAGAAAAATGCATTTCAAAAACTCATATATATAATTCAAAATTATCCCACATGCTCATCAACTTTTTTGCTCAACAAACATCAAGAATTATCATATTCAATCATGCCTCTTGCATCAATTTTTAAATTATCATACAAAACTACATTAGCATCATATAAAACTCAACATGCTCATACAATTTATCACTGTGCATAATCCACAACTTATAACTAAGAGTGTACACATAATCATCAACCATTAATCTCATT